AGAGCGGTGACAGCAGTGTAACCTCTGTGGTAGACTACAAAGTCTACGAGCTACAGCGGCACCGCCACCTCCGCTGCTGCAAGACGCCACATTCTGTGATACAATAGCCATCACGACCACGACCACACGACGAAACCTCTTCGCAACGGAGAGGCGAAACTGTCATCGTTATTTCTCATGATGTTCCTGAAAGAACCTGATCTTCGAGGTGTGGACTGCAGGCAACAGACAGCGAGAGCGAGAGCGAGAGGGATGACGACGTGACCCAGTCGTAGAGCTCTGCCTGCTACGTTGCCTGTTGAGGTATTGGGGGCAATGGTAAGCAGCCCTCCTCTCGCATCAACATACGAAGAACCTAGGTGTGTGCGTATGCTACAGCAGTGCTTTGCAGCAGATAATCTTTGACACCATCTAACACCGCCCAACCCGTATCTTACAGCCGTATCGTATGCATACATGTCGCACCTGAGCCAGTGGCTGAAAAACAGGAAGAGCTTCTTCCTGATGCGCTTGCGCCGGCTGAACCACGCCGAGATGACCGACGGGGATACCAGGGTGCACAGGACACAAATGGGGGTGCACACCGCTTCTCCCTCCGGCAGGTCCTCGACGTTTAACCGAGTACCACACGTCCGAAAAATCACATCAACACTATCATCATCGGACTCAAGCGCAGCCTGGGCGGCTTCACTCGAATTCTATCCGAACCCTTCAAGATAATCGGATGAAGTCATGTGAATTGAATATGCTGACGGATGGAGCACCGTGAGAGTTCTATCAAGCTTGCGGGGGGAAGGAGAGGCTAAACGCGACTTTCGGTCGAGCGTAGAGGTGGTGAGAGAGGCACCACGTTGTGCGTGTCAGACGATGGGAACCGCGGGTGACCAGGACGATGGACAATAAGGGCGGGTGCGGGTGATAGCGTGTGATAGCGGCGCGAGGTCACCCTTAAGATCCGAAAAGAGCCAGTCGACGATTTTTCTTCCAGGGTTGTTGAGGAACCCGCGGCCCTCCAACCTGGCTCAGCAGAGTTATTTAAAACTCAAAAATTTGCCCAAATGCCCGCACAGTCCCGCGAATTTGGCAAATATGAGCTTTAAATGTCAACTTTGTTTGGGGTGAAAAACACCATAACGACCAAAAGAAATTGGACCTAGCCCGCCAAGGCGCGAAGTCCAAATACCCCACGGCTGAGAACATATGCTACCCTACCCCCCGTGAAGTTCTTCTTGTCTCAAGCCATCACCCCTCCGGTAAGCTTACGCACGGCACAGCACCTGAACCACCCTAGCGAAGAGCACGCACGCCCCCCACCAAGCGCCACCACACACCCTGTACAACATCGCCGCCCTCGTGGAGATAGCCTTCAAATCGGTAGATCATGAGCTCCCCTGGCAACCTTGAGTGCAGCGGTGCGCACCCCCCAGCGGCTCCTCAAATGTCCAGCTCCACGAATGTCCTCGGCAAGCGCCATGCGGAGGAGGCCGTGACCGGGGGGCAACCGCCACGGCAGAGAGCGGTGAGCCCTGTTGGACATGGGGGTAATGACCCCAAGCTTGTGCTTCCCGCCTCTCACCA